AGAAGCAATAAATGTGTCCGGATGGGGAAAAAGGCGACATAAAACACTGAGGCACAAGCTGGAAAGGAGAAAAGGGGACATTCTTTGTGTTCACAGTTCACCTCTCTTTAAAGAACTGCTCTCTAAAAAGGCTCCAGTTTCTGTGGCTCCTAAGTGACAAGAGGGTCTGGCTGAGACTGGGTCAAGAGCTGCAGGATTGTTATAAAAGGTTCACTCTACTGTTTTAAGGCTCAGATGGCTTGTTTGAATCTGAAGCCAATTATCAGATTAAAGAGTCCAAAGAAAAACCTGTGATCCAGTTAACAAATCCCCATTTGCTTATGTGGGGCCCTCACAGCATGTCAGCTGAACGATCACACAAGCCTTGATCCCCTGGCCCACCATGATGTCATTATAACGGACCACATCTTTGTTCCCTACCTTAACGCACACATATATTTAACTCTAATTTGCACAATATGGGACTATTGCAGGCTTTGAGTAGCGCTCAGCTCTGCAGCACCATTTCCATGGAAATTTAAGGTATGCCTGCTCACACATACCCAGCGTGAACTCACTCATCTGGAATCCTCCACGCCACTTTCTTCCAGACTGAACAAGCTCAGCGCCGACAGCCAGCAGTAATGACATATATTAGGGAATCCTGCACAAACAGTGAATAATTATGAAGAATGTCAAACACAAGGAGACACAGACAGCTGGAAACCTGGTGGCTTTCATGTCATTTGTTTTCCTCGATCCCCCGTTCACACAGTGACAGCCTAATAACACACTCCCTGGAAAGTGGTCAGATGTTAATGAACATGACAGGCATTTCTCCAGAGGGGGAAAGGTGGGATGTTTTTTTGTTTTCTTATGTGATTCATCTTGGAAAATGTGGGTCAGAGAAAGTGACAAGTGACTGAGTGAGTGCCAAGATTGGGGGGGGTTGAGGATAAGGGTCATTGACCTTCAGGACCTCGGTGTTAAAGAGACAGGAACATGAGAAAAAATATGCGCTATGTAGAAGCACGTTAATGCTTAACCAAGAGGCTGACCAAGAGATACAGTTCTTCCAAAACAGTCTTGTTTGCTAGCAGCATGGCTTTGGGTTAAGCAATGGTCAGTCCACCACTTTGGGTCAGACTCAACAACTATTGGATGGATTCACATGAAAGTTTGTACAGACACTCATGAACTCCAGATGATGAATCATAGTGACTTTGGTGATCCACCAACTTTTCCTGTAGCGCCACCAAAACAGTTGGTTTACAGTGAGATGTCTCTATTATTTGATGAATTGCCATCAGATCAAAAATGTTAGCGTTGTCATTGTATTCATGTTACCATACTGATAGCAGTTAGCTCAAGCACAGCTGTGCAAAAGGGCAAGCCTCACAGAGGCGCTGGCATGGCTGTAGACTCTTAGTCTTGTTGCTTTACACATTCCCTAGCATTTGGACTGCTGGATGCAAAAGTTTATTCTTACAGCATTTAAGGAGAGCAGAGTTTTTAAAATCAGTAGCCATTTAATCACAGCAAACAATATAAACATGACCATGAAAATGTCTTAAAGTTCTCACACAGTAAAATAAAAGTCTTTGATGAGTATGTATTTTCTATGAAGTGCTGCTCAATAAATCACTTCTGTGTAAGGCTTTCATGTTTACATCTGGTCTGTTCATTGACCAGAAGGCCTGCTCGAAGCCAACGACTGATCTGACTCTACATAGCAAAAGAGTGACCAATAAAATTAGCATCACACCTGGAGTCCATGTATGAATGAGCACAATCTGTGACGTGGAGCTCATGGTCTGCTGTGCAGTGGGAAAAAATACACCATCAAACAGAGGCAGCAATGTGTCAGTGTCACGGGGTCGATTCTCAGTCCAGGAATTTTCTTTCATCTGGAGCGGACAAGTTCTCCCTGCGTTCAGTTGCATCCTTCCAAATGTCAAAGACCTGCAGGTCAGGCGAATTTATACTCTAAATTGTGTGCTGTGAGTGTCTGTATTAGTCCTGTGGTGGACTGAAAACCTATCCAGAGGGTTCATTTACATTTTTACACCACCCAAAGCATGCTGGTCCCTTGTGACCCTTGACAGTAATAGGCAGGTAAAGCCTGAACAATTGAATGAACACTGTCAAACAAGACAAATAGTTTTCGGAAATGAAAGATATACTACCAACAGCTGTTTTTAACAGTTGCAAGACAGATTTTTCCTTTAAACTGTCAACTATACAGCAGGCACCTCTTCTGAAAACTGAACCAAGAATGAACCCTGAAACACGTGTTAGACAAGAAACTGCTAATCTACCTTACAACAGACAGGAGACAGGTGGGACACTAGACCCAGAAAGATATTTTTTTTAAAATCTTGACAAGACTTCTTACCGTACACATCAATTTACACAGGCTGACAAATTGAGCAAAATATATAGGAAAATTTCCCTCATGTGTATAAAAGCTTCGATACAGACTTTAAAGGATTAGCTTGACTTTTGGGGGAACTTGGAAAGAGTTAGGAATTACAATACAATATTTTACTGAAAAACAGACACATTAATACTGTATTTAATTTAAATGGTTCTTTTCTATTTTTGCCCTACAAAATTAATTAAATTAAAGGAATAGTTTAACATGTTGGGGAATACAATAATTCGTTTTCTTGCAGAGGCTTGCATGATTAGATTAATACCACTCTTATGTCTGATGCTACAGCCAGCAGCTGGTTTGCTTAGCTTAGCATAAAGACAGAAAACAGGGGGTAAACAGATATATACGAGCACCTCTAGCTCACTAATTAACACATTATATCTGATTTGTTTAATTTGTACAAAAACTAGAGGCGTTATGGAGAGAAGAGGACTTATGTTCAGGACTATTGCTTCACCAGGTGCCAGGTCCAGTTCATAACTTTCCGATAAAACTACAAATTTAAGTTTTTACACTTTACACTTTTTGCACAGATTAAACAAACAAGATATAATGTGTTAATTACTGAGCTGTAGAGACACTCATTTTGTTCCCTTTTGACAGCTAGCTGTTTGCCTCTTGTTTATGCTAAGCTAAGCTAACCAGCAGCTGGCTCTAGCTTTATACTTACATATTTTGACATGAGAGTGGTATCAATCTTCTCATCTTACAATCAGCAAGAAAGCAAATAAGCGTATTTCCCAAAATGTTGAACTATTCTTTTAATAACTGTGTCTGCATCTTCTGTCCTCTTTAATTTTACTGTGCTGGAGACAAATATGAGCAGAATATTTTTGAGGAAGAGAGAAAAGAAGAGGACAGAAGGAAACACAAGAAATCTCTTGTGTAGCAGACAGACAGGCAGCGATACCATCATCACACACAGCATGCTTACAGAGTTACACATTTACACCTCTCTGGCCTCTTGCCTGCTGCCTTCCTTCCCATCCACAATGATTTCCCTCTGTATTTCTGAGGGAATATACTTTACACTTAATCTGTCAACACAGCTCCAGCTGAAGATTTTATTACAGGGATGAGGAGCAGGTTCTTTAGGTGTTTCCTCCGTGGTGACATTTGCTCCAGGACAACAGTGGTCACATTGTGCCAACAGCCTGACTTGTGTCCTTGTTGGGAGATTCTTCAGCATTCCTGAAAGCACTGTCGCTGTGACTGGGAGCTCTGTTTCGCCACCCCTGACGCTTCAACAAACCCCATGGGAGCGTCGATGCGCAGCTCCCCAAATTCCATAGGTTCACTGAGACCCTGAATGAGACATGAAAGACCTTTTGGAGATCAAGGTCAGTCAGCAGAGGACGAGGTGAACACTGCTACCAACGTGCCCCAACAGCTCTACGATCTATGAGCATACAGGAGTTGGTCTATTGTGGCTCTTGGCATAGATCATAACTGGAATACATAATGCCAAAAACAAGACTTTTCTTGCTTGGGTGTAGCTGTAGGCTGCCAATGAACATGCCAAATGCTAGATATGATGAAGACTATAAACACTTTGATCTGTAACTGAGTCATAAAAGGAAAAACAATTACTCAGTCATGTTGATTCACTGCGTTGAATGTTAAATCTTTATGCCATACTGAAAACAAGTGGGGTTGAGGTAGAGGCTGAAAAACAGAAGTCTTTCATTTAATCCCATAAAAGACTTTTCATATTAATGAATACACATAATTTGATCTAACTAAATTCATACAATTAAGTCAATCTGAGTTTACACTAACTGAATGTACAGATTATAAAATGATTAAGGCATTTTGAAACCTGGTACCACTTTTTCTTTTACAAGCAACCTTTATAAATGGTTTACAAATTGTAAATATTGGCCTAAAAACATTCATGTTCCCCTCAGGATGAAATGTAATAACTTTGGTTATCCTTATCTTTTCACCGATCACCATCATCGGGTCAAATTTGTAATTTGTCCAATATTTCTTTAGCTGCCAAAATAATGACATTCCCATCAGCCTCAGCTGCAGTTGTATTTATGCAAAGCATAGCATACTAAAACGCTAAATTAAAATGGTGAACATGTTAAACACATAGGTTAATCATTACACCGGTAAAGTATTAGCATTGTCATTGGAAGCATGTTTGAATGTTACCTAGATGACGTTATTGAACAAACCCTTAAAGTAATTATAATTATCAATGATTAGCATGCTAACATGCTAAACTAAAATGGGTAACGTTAAACTTTAACTTACACCTTAAGTGTTAAACTTGTTAGCATTGTCATTGTTTAGCAAATGTTAGCATTTTAAAATGCTTAATTAAGATGAACATGTTAATCTTATAGACCTGCAGCTTAGCTTTTCATTAAAATCTGTCTGTACTTGGTAAAAACACTTAATACGATTTTTCCACGTATTATCACGTTATACATGTAAAATTCATATAAAACATGAGAATAAGCTGTAGCAGGACACTTGTTTGCTAACTGTCCCCCCTCAGCAGGCACACAGGCGGAGGCGGGGCGTTAGGACCGTGAGGCAGGACGCGTCAGAGAGTAAACACTTCTTTTCAGACAAGAGACTTTTATTTGTGGCTCTCAGTCTGAGCTGGGCAGGTTTCACAAGAAGTACTGTCGGTCCCGACACCCAGAGGGACGCCGGTGCCTTTTTTGTACACGCTGTAAAAGAGCGAGCAAGACTGTCTTTCCGGAGGACGTGCACAGAGAAACTACCTGCCTGTCACCGGAGATGATGAGCAAAACCTGGGAAATGATTCTGAGGGACTCTTCTGATGGGATGGAAAACGTGACTGCGATGTAAACACGGACTATCGATCTCTAATCAGGAGGTAATGCCTAAAATCTCCAGTTGTGGACAATGTTGCATGTACAGGTCTTTTCATAAATAATGAAAAGGGTTTTTACAGCCGTATGTAGCCAGATGTATTCAGGCCAAATGTTAGAGTGAAATAAATGGTAGGCTATATAAGATTAAATGTGTGTATAAGGTCTCATATGTTTCTTTTTCTTCTCTCAGTCTGTTGTTTCTTGGTCCCAAACATCCCTTCAATCATCTTCATCATCGTTGTATGACAGATGTTAGAGAGAGATGAACTTAATTTGACTCTGCTGCATGCATGTCAGACAAGATTAGATCATATTAAATGCTGAACAGGGAGTCTTCTATACGCTTCAGACCAGCAAACTGGAGTGTTTTAGATACCTGTCTGTGTTTTTTTTTACTGAACAAGTATGTATCCTCCCTTTTTATATACAATACAGCACTGAAACGATTTATCTGCACTATTTTTTAAAGAGGCACTGTAATCTCCAAGTTAACTGCAGCAGCCCCAAAATCAACGCTCTCCCACCATTTTGCCTCCAGTTACATGCTGTCACTTTGCAGAGGGATGTCTTCTGGATCATTTTCCTGTGGTTTCAATCAGACCGAGCCTCTAAAACCTCTGAAAGAGCTGCAGTGCTTTGGTTTAGAGCATGAACATTTTGTCTTAAGAACCTTAAGAGGCTCTGAAAACACAGTTATGTCATTGCTTCACATCCCCAAATCACTGTTTTACCACAGCCTGGTAAATGCACTGCTTCACCATCCAATTTATCTACTTAAGATGTTCTGTGACTGTCTGCCACAGCTGTCACGCATCTGACACATGCTTTCCCTCCTTAGAGGAGCTTTGTAACTCTGCCTCCTTTCTAGTGGTGTCTGGATCAGCACATAGGTGTGTGGACAGGCCTCACCCTGCCCTTTGTTAGGGATAATGCTCAGTTTTGCCACCGTGCCTCGACTTGTTTCTTTTCACTTTTTACACACCTGCTCTCTCCGTTGCCATGAGTGCCTCTGGGTCCACAGCCTTCAGAGGGGATCAAGTGTCTCCTTGTCCCTGCTAATCTGCCCTGAAAGCCCCACGCATACTGTGAACTCGTTAATGTTTGACATAAAACAACTTCTTACCTCTGAGCTTTGACTGTAACTTCCACACCTCTTGTTTGGACCTATTCAGTCTGCGATGATCATGTCTAGGAACGCGCTTTTTTTAAATAAAATAATCACACACTGCATATCTTTTACTTTGAGAGTGTTTACCACTCAGCTTTGTTTTTGCTTCTCAGCTACGTCTATGGCCACTTTGCCTGCTCTTTTTTCCACTTCCTTTGGAATTTGTCTGTGACTTTTGTACCAAACAGACTTTAAAATGCTTGTTTGTTTCCATCATGCTGAAATCCTATTTTCCTGGTAATCTATATTGTAGGAACAAGAGGTCCATTGTTGCCTTGCACCTCATGAAACTCTGGCCTGGCGTTGCAACACTAGGTTTTGCAAGCTGACCTCACTTGCATAGGCGCAGTAATTTACAATCAACTGTGAAAGATTTATGAGGGATTAGAGTTTGCGTGTTTGTAAGACAGCTTGTTTGGGAATGTATTCCACAGTTGTTTTCCTGACAAACATGTAGGAATTCACGCAATCTCGCAGGGATAAGCTGTTTTTCTCATGTATGTGATTGATTTTCTGTCGTTGCAGTGTTTTCCATCACCATGATGTCGCCACGTGGGCTCCTGACTTACCTGCTCCTGCAGCTCTTCCTCCCGCTCACCCTGTCCTTTCTGCACCCTCCTCACCACCCGCCTGTCCACGTACCCACGCTGGTGCCTCATGTGCCGACGCCTCTCATCCGCTCCCGCTTCAGCGCTCAGACCCAGCTGGACTTCACCACTCACTGCAACTCCAGCTGCTTCCACAGAGGAGAGCAGGGGGCCCAGAAGGAGCAGCTCACAGAGAAATTGGCTTTTGAGACACTATACGCCAACGGCTCCCGCACTCTCACTACTGTAGACGTGAAGGGTGATGAGGAGGTTGAAACGGATCACTTTGATCACCCTTCACCGATTCGAGGAACAAGAGTGAAGCCCAGGAAAAAACGAGTGAGGCGGCAGATTTATGGCGCAGACGGACGCTTTAACATCCAAGGTGACAACTTCCTATTGGATTACCCTTTCTCCACAGCCGTGCGGATCTCCACCGGCTGTACCGGCGTTCTTGTGTCTCAGCAGCATGTCCTCACAGCTGCCCATTGTTTGCATGATGGGAAGGATTATGTCAAGGGGGCGCGGAAGCTCAGGGTGGGCTTCCTGATTCCTCCATCCATCAACGGCACCAAAGCCGGCCTCACTTCTGCCAAGAAGCCTCTGGTCCGCTGGGTGAGGGTGAAACGTACCCGTGTGCCAAAGGGCTGGATCCAGGGCCCTCAGGAGGTTAGCATGGACTTTGATTACGCCCTGCTGGAGCTGCGTTGGCCTCACCGACGTCCCTTCATGCGCCTCTCCGTGGCTCCCTCCTCTGATGACCTGGCAGGGAACCGCATTCACTTCTCTGGTTTCGACAGCGACAGGTCCGGGGAGCTGGTGTACAGATTCTGTCCCGTGGAAGAAGAGTCCAGCGACCTGATATACCAGCACTGTGATGCCCGACCTGGAGCCAGCGGCTCTGGAGTGTATGGAAGAGTGTGGGACAACAGTTTAGAGCGATGGGAAAGAAAGGTCATTGGCATTTTCTCTGGACACCAATGGCTGGAGATAGATGGGGAGAACCGGGACTACAATGTGGCCGTGCGCATCACTCCTCTGAAGTTTGCACAGATCTGTTACTGGGTACACGGTAACCGACTAGACTGTGTCCAGGACTAAGACAAAAGTAGGACAAACGGACAAGGAGGAGGATTTGAGAGTAGGCTATAGCATGAAAAACACAGGAAAGCACAAAGCGGCTGAAAACGTACAAGGTGAAATGTCTTATTTCCCCTAAAGAGAGTGAGTAAAACGGGATTAAATCCACGCAAAAATAAATTCAGTGATGCACCAGTAGGGCAGATCTACTCATCTACTTTTGGACCAAGATCCCCTTCACTGATTTATTTCTGTCCTGTATTTAATTTGCTCCCTGTAACCTCTGGGCCCATTCAACAAATCTGCCTGTGAGATCATCAACACGGCATCTTTTAATACGTTTTTCCCGCAGTTAGTTTAATAACACACTCAGTGTTTCCACAGTGTTAACATAAGACACTTTTCCTCATGTGTCAGTAGCAGCAGATTATTTTCCTACTCTGGATGACGTTTTGTCTTTATATCTTTCCTGCTCTCTTTTCTGACTCTGGGGAAATGGTTTGGTATTTTTATAGCTCTTCAAGGATCATTCAGTTTGTGGAAACCACTGATGCTCTTGTCACTGTGGACTGGGCAGAGTGTTCTTTTTTTTTTGAGAAATTCGTGATATATTTTAATAAACAGAGATTTATAACACAGTTTGTGTCAATAGTCTTGGTTTCACTAGTTGTGGTTGGGCACCATCATGTGGTCCTAACAGGTACTGCAGAATCAATAATCCCTGAACAGCAAAGATGGACTCTAGTTTTACTTAAATTTACTTTATTCGCCACGTCATTTGTTTCAAGCAAAAATGTACTGATTCAAGCTTCTCAGATGTAAATATTTACTTTAATAACATCCATTATTTGAAATCGAATATCTTTAGACTATTTGAATTTGGGACGCTGTGATGGATTTGTTTGTTTTTTTATAATGAAAACTGTTGGAATTGATCATGATGAGCTGATTATTTTATTACTTATTCATTTGTGCAGTAAGATCTGAGCATCATCATTGAAATGTAAGACTTCACAATGGGTGCCATTCACCATAACCAAAATGCTACAAACCGATCTGATGTGTAACAGATCACCAAAATCTGAAAAATTACAAATTTGAAGTAGGCCCAACGGCTCAAGAGTAGGTTTTTACAAAACACAAGTAAAACAAGTGGAAAAAGAGCAGAACGAGTCAGTAGTTTAGTGCTTTTTATTAGAGATAAGGAGACGATACAAAACATCCACCATTCAATATTCAGTCTAAACTCTGACCGCTGGTCTTTCATATACACATCGCTCCCCATCAGACCTTCATAACACCGAAGATTTTAAATCAAGAGGATCCTGGTTTTAACGAGTACAAGGAATGTTGTCCGTTTACTACATCAAATGCCATGGTTTTCTGACCCAGAACTGAAAATTAAAAAAAAAGGGGTCAACTCAAGTTTTGGAATTTGCATGTTCAAAAAGAAAGAAAACACAATGGAATAACAAAAACAAAAAAAATATATATATTTAATTGTGGTTCCCCCAGAGAAGGTTTTGTTACATCTTGTGCAATCAAGAGTGAATTAGTTCATACTACAACTAGTCTCAACTACACACACACTTACAAAACTTAACTAGAAGTTTGGCAAAAAAAAAAAAAAGTAGTTGGAACGATTTGTCAGAATTCAATGGTTGGAAAACTAAAAAGTTTGTTGTCTGTCTTTCTCTGCAGTCAGTCAAATGGAACCCAGAAAGAACAAAACCTTGTCCTTAAACATGAACAATATGTGTATTTAAGTTTATCATCATCATCCTTCCTCAGTTGTATCTTAATGTTTTTCCTTAGTGTGTGTTTTGTTCATATTCTTTATGTTGCGTGAACTGGAATGACAGTCAGCATTTCTGGAATTTCTTTTTGTGTGTCTGTCACTTGACCCCAAACCCACCCACAATATCCCACCCCGAGAGTCCCGCAAATGGTGCTGGTTCTGCTTTTGCCCTTCTCCAAACCACACTGGAATGAACAGCTAAACCCAACAGATGTGTCTGAAAGGCCTCGATCGAAGCCAGAGGGAGGGAGGGAGGGGCAGTATTTATATAGGGGCTCCTTCCAGGCTGACTACTGACGAGCCGCCAAGCTTTTCTGCCAGGGTGTGCCGATCTTTGAGGTCTTCCAAACCATTCACCTGCCACTCGTGCTTAATACCTGAAATAAAAACAAAAGGTAAATGTTGTACAAGGTTTCAGACAAAGAAATAAAACATCACTGGATCATCACTTTTGCTAAATAAGGTGTGTCAACCAAGTAAGCCCAAATATAACAGAGCTTATCCTTTGAGTCAGCTTATCTGTTGAACGCAATATATGGATAATATCCTCCATCATGTTATATGTAATTTAGATTGTCATGATATGGTACATCTTCTGAAAATTAAAGTAAGAAATTGTTTATGGATTAATATTAGCTTATCCAGCAAACAGCCTGACAAAGGTTATTCATCTTGGTGGCGCAAAACAAAAATCTAAAAATCCAATATTGCCATAAAATAGCACTTTGATTTTTAACTCTGCCCACAATAGCCTGGAACTATATAAAAAGGGATAACTACCGAGATATATATGCTGAAGAAAAATCTGTGGTACACAAACGTATGTTGTCTGACAGTACATATCATATCACCCAAGCCTATTGTTTAATTAAGCAGAACAAATTATCATACAAGTCTAGTGGCTGAGAATGAAAATCTAAACGTGGTGTGTAGATCCAACAAAATGGGCAGGTACCTGGATGTGATGTGGCCGCTACAGACAAGCTGCACGTGTAGTGAAGACACAGTCAAGGCAGAACTAGCTGACATTCTATTTACTCCAGTGATTTTTGCACTAATGTTTAAAATTATACCCTTTCTAGTAGCTCTTACCGGTAGACTACTTTATCCTTAATTCAGAGCGGTATAATACCTATGATTAGGTATTTGACTAGCAAAATGTTGTTTACGCAAAAGTTTGTTTGTGTATTAAAGATGTTTTTAAGCAGTATTAATTGTCCACATGGGGGCAGCAGAACAAGCTGTTAACAACATCATCACAAACAATTTCCTATTCACACATTCAGCCGACCTGAAGCAACATTAGCTTTCACATATTGTGGAGTTTCTGACCACCTGAACTCCTGAGGGAAATATCTGGCTGCTAAATGCTCCGCTATTTTCACCAGCTAGTCACTAAGGTTGTCTGTGGGCCATTTGAGCAGCGAGTTTCTGGCCGGAAAGCCAAAACAATGAGCTGAAAAATTATAAATGATCTGCAGTCAGGTGATATTTCTCTAGTATAGATAGTTATCTGATTTAAATACGCTTTAATTCACTATATTATATCCTGACAAATTGAACCTTTTTCTAAGTGGAAGTATGTGTGCATATGCAAACTTAGTTGGGTGTGGTTATGGTTGGAGTATGTTTTAATTAACACGTTTGCACCTGCAGCTTTGTGATTCTGAAACCATTTATCCATCAGCAAAAACTACACACACACAGCCATTTACCTTCAAATTTTCTCTTGATAGCATCTTTTGAGCTGGCATAGATCATCTTGCTCTTCAAAGGAGCACTTTCAGGAGCCCTGCGAGTGGGGGGGGAATTATTAAAGCCAAATGTGATCTTAATGATGGTCAAGAATCCTTTAACATTGGATATATGGCCGCACTCACCAGAAGATAAAGACCAGGTCCTCCTTCTTCGTTTCTTTGGTCTCATAGGTGGCGTCATACAGGGCGTAGCGGCAGTCGTCTGGGGGCAGCATCTTCACAAAGTGCTGGTATGGGTCCTGGACAGTGGTTCCCAAGTCACCCAGCAGGATCTCTTTGCCGTCATCCAGAACAATGTTCTTGAGGTCCTTGCTCATGCAGAAGAGAATGGCCTTCTTCCTCTTCCTCTTCTCATCCTCGTTTGCCTGAGCCTTACGCACCTTCATGTCATTGAAGACGGCGATAACTTCATCTGTGACTTTCACACCGGAGGCCTGTGGAGAGAACAATCTGTTAGGTCCGAGTTTAATGTATCTAAGGTTCAACTTGACTACTTGACTGACTGAATTCAGTCTCCCCCCCAAGCAGAAAATCTATTGCTAGAACGTTGAATAGTTCTTTAATTACCTTGGACTGATTTGGGTGAATATTGTGATGTAAATCAATTTTTTATTTTTTTTTTTAAGTACATTGACACCAATGCTGTTAAATTACACATTGAGAATCAGTTAATCGCTCACTTTTTAATAAGAAGATGACAAACTCAACTGGTTCTTCCTTTACAAATTTGAGTATTTGCTGGTTTTCTAAGTCTTATGACATTGAACTAAATATATCTATAGATATGTTTGGGTTTCTGACTACTGTTCAAGCAAACTAAGCAGTTTTTGTGATACACTGACCAACCAACTAATCTGGAAAATAACTGACACTTTTATAATGAAAGTAATTGTTCGTTGTTGACAGTTGCAATAATCTTCAACAGGTCAGAAGTGAAGACTTCAGGACAGTTGATACAGACATAATGAAACTGACAAAGGGCCTGAGAGGTCGGCATGTGACTACAACACACTAGGGGTGTGCCTTAGCATATCCTTCATGATAAAGCCTATATAAGAATATTATTGTAACAGAAATACCCAGAAATATTGTGATATTATTTTAGGGCCATATCGCCCACACCTAACACACACACACACAAACAGCAGGAATCCATACGAGGACAACTGATAAAGGACTGAAATGCTAAGGTGTGGCTGTAACAGGCTGTCAGCCATGGTGGTGGAAGAGTTAAGTTGTGTAAGGCAATCTGAAAATGATCCAGCTTTCAGCACAGTTGGTCCAAATGAAACAAACACTGACAGTTCAGTCAGGACAGTCTTTTATTTCCATTTATTATGTATAAGGTCAGACTGTAAGAATAACAAAGGATGGAGATAAACTAAGCCGCTAAAACTGCCTGTCTAAAGTCCACTTTGAATGTGAATACAGATTAAGTTCAGCAAACAGGTGTGTCTAAGTTTCTGTGACAGGCCTGTAGGTATAAAACAGCACACAAGTTATTTCTGCAAGCAGAGGGAACAGCCATGTATCTCTACCATAAAGATGACCACGTGGGTGAGGGCGTGGTCAGGAATTAAGCAGAGTTCAGTCACAGACAATAGGGCTTCTGTAGAAATAAAGAATATAAGTCACATTGCAGAGTCACACAGCTGCTGCATAAACTCCCTCAATCAGGTCTTCTGACTCTGTTTAAGAAACTCCATCACAGGAAAATGCAGTCTCAGGAGAAGATAGAAGAAAACTGCTATCTACCAGCGATGTGTGAATGGAAAAAGGACATAACAATGAAAAGGAAATAATGTGGCAGGAAAGACAGAAACCCTGCTGCAAAGCAGCACAGGCAGACACCGTATGTTTACTCAGGGAGTAAAAGACCTGTATGAGATAACAGTGGACTTTAAAGTAATAATTAACCAGCAAACAACCATACTTCCTTAATCCCAAAATAAGAAATGAACTTTGATATCCCCCCATGTTCCTTGAAGTTACAGCAAAGTCAGTTTTGAAAATATTTTACACATTTCTAAACTCTTTGCATGGGAGACATCACATGACACACTGTATGTTTCCACTTCTTCCT